TGAATGCCATGTGTGTGTGTGTGTGTGTGTGTGTGTGTGTGTGTGTGTGTATATATATATATATATATATAATCATATCATATTTAAAAATGATTAATATCAAAATCTTGTTTTATGGGAAGACTTTAAAAAGGAAAGTTTCCAATCAGCCTTAAAGACTGTCACTGTTGAGCTATAAAGTTTTTGATTGATTGATTTAAAATGAATGTAGCTCTTATTTTCAACAGCAATTGTCTGCCTGAACTTGAGCTGAATTGAGAACTTCCTGGTGATGCAATTATCATGCTCTAAGTGCAAGTGGGATTGATTGGTATTGGCCTGACCAATGGACAACTGCTCATTTGAAGTTAAACATCCTCTCATCCCAACCAGTCCAAACCATCTCTTGTCTTCATTGCTAAGGATTGAGAGCTCTCTTTAACTTAGCTGTTCAAAGACATTTATGCATACTTCTAAGAGGTGTTTTTCTGATCTATTATAGTTGACACAGTAAGTTAGAGAATAGTGGAGTCAGGATCATAAACAGAATGGGAATTTCCAAAGGATTATAAACTTTCAAAAATACTTACTCAGTTTTGGGAAGAAATAATTCTCCCTCTTCCTGACATGAAAATATAGGGAGTTCAATAGTGAGATACCCCAAATTCCGGCAGTGTTGTACACAATAGGCCAGGATCATCAAACCCATATCAGAGTTGCACTGAAGATTTATATCAGTGACACTGCATAAGGCATCGCTTACAAAATTGTCATCTTGTGTCTCATATAAATAAGTTAACATATCTTTTTGCCAATGGAATGTAATTGTTTTGTCAATTTTATATTTCACCCAGTTTAATAAGAACACTTTATTTTTAGGACAAATTTCCCATTCAAATTCTTTTTTCAGCTGCCTCATTCTTTTTTCTTCATTTAAAAAACCAAAAAGAAAGCGAAATCCAACTGCAAAATCACGCCTAAAAGGTTGATGACTTTCTAACAATGTCTGGAAATTTTTATTCTGAGTCTGAGAATGTTGCTCCTCTCTTTCGTCTAGGATATAAAACAAAGCAGCAAAAAACTCCTGGAAGCTTAAGTGAATGAAGCTATAGGTTTGAATACAATCAATGTCCCTTTTGAAGAGATTCTGATTCAGAAAGAGGGGGAGGGAGTCTCCTTGATCTAAATTGTGTTTCCTGACTTCTTCTTTCATAAACATTATTTGCTGTTTCAAAACACCTTCTGCAGCCAAAGCGCATAAGCCTTTCACATTTGTTTGGACATCTCGTTTGGATTCTTTATGGTGAAATTTTAACAAACTGGAGAAGTACAGTACGTAGATTGCAGTGAGGGTACATGGTGCTTTCTGAAGATCCTTGCCTCTCTCCATCTCTTGTTTCATCACTGTGCAGATGATCCAGCTCACAAGGGGAATGACACACATGGTGAAAAGCATGTCATTTTGTTTCACAAATCTGAAAGCTTGCATTGCTTGGTCTTCATTTTCAAAAAATTTGTAGAAATATTCTTCTCTCTCTTGTGTGGAAAACCCCAATATCTCAAAATTGCGTGGTTGTTCTAAACATCGATGGAGTTTCTCCAAAGCCATTAGTCTTGTTGTGATTATAAGAGAGGATTTAGGAAGCAGCTTTTTTTTAAACAAACTGCTCAAAATAATTCTCACTGGCTCTTTCTTCCAGGGATCAGTGCAAAAGTAGTTTTCAGACTGATCAAAGGAATACCTTAATTCATCAATCCCATCAATTATGAACAGAAGTTTCTCTTCATTCTTCAGTATGTTTCGAATGACATTATTCACTTCATGACATTTGAGCCATTCGCTTGAAATTATTTCTACAATACTAGTCTTCTGGGACTCTGCATGAAGATTTATTTCTCTATTGCTAATATAGAAAGCATAATCAAATTTGTCCTGGTAAAGTAGTTGAGAAGCCCAATCAAACATGATTTTTTTGGTCATTATGGTTTTTCCAATTCCTGCAGCTCCTTGCAACACAACAACTTGTGGAATTAATCCATATTTATCAGGGTTAAATAATGTTTCAATGCTGATTGAAGACTCAGCTCTTTTGCTGATGATTTCAAAATGTTTCCTTCCCATTGCCAGAATTTGATTTTCCCTTTCCTCTTCAGATGGATGATAATCTAGGACGATTAGGTTTGAGTATCTCTGGTTTAGGGGCACGTATTCACCAGGAATAGCATTAGGATCTTTGATTGTTGCAAATTTTTTTTTAATGTAGTTTCTGTAATCTAAAGAAAGAATTAATTTAATTAGACTTGTGAAAAATAAGGCCTACACAAGATATCCAATTAACTGTTTTGCCTTTGTATTTTTTCGTGAGGCCACCCACATCTGCCCTCTGGATTAATGTGTTGAGGGAAATTGTGGGATATTTTGTTCATTGGTTTGTCAGAATAAATGCCAATGGGCAAATACTTGTTAATCAATACATTAAACAGTTCTCATTTCTTAATTTTTTTAAATATACATAATGTTCCTCGAAAAATTAAATTAAATATTAATAGGCGAAATAAAGATCTTTCTGTGGACATTGGTAGATGAAAAACTTTACTCGTTACTCTCTTGGAATATAAGAAATACTCTCAGAATGAGTGTAATTTGAAACATACTTCACACTGAATATGGATTATATTTTATTCGCAGAGAGAAAACAGACACAAACACAGACTAACACATAGATAATTGATTTAAATATTTAAATATTTGTTTTGTACATTTCTATGGGGTTTTTCAATTCAAACTACCTATTTCAAAGTATTTTTGAAAAAGATGTACTTATTACCGAAATATGTGGCTTGGGTTTCCCTAATTTTGAATTACACTGTCAGCCTCCATCATGCTTACTTGCTGTCAGCTGCCATAGAATGGGGAGGGGGGAAGTTTGGCATTTTTTTTTGGGGGGGGGGGAGTTTTCTGGAAAGTGGTGATACCTTCTGTGTGAATCAAGGGGGGTGGAATGTTCTCATACTTCACTGCAACTGCATGGATATGTTTATGTTCAGCCAAGGTCAACCTTCTCGGCATACCAGATGGGGGAAAAACACCTGAAGATGTACCCCACATGACACCATAGGCACTGGAGAATGGACATCCAGTCTGGGTCCTTGGGGAAGGGAACTTGGGATAACTTTCAATATGTAATTTCCACGCCTATTGCCTCAGATCTTGCTTTTCTTTCATTGCTATCACTTCTAACTCAGTAAAAGTACCTCATCTCTACAAACATGGAATCGGGGGTTTTCTTTCTTGGGTTTTAAATGGAGGTACGTATGACATAGACCATTATACATGTATTCTGATGATACCAAATATAGAACAACTTCATTTAGTATAACTTCTCCTTCCTATGATCTTTTAGAATATTTGGATGTGGCATTCTTGATAGCCCTGTTTTCTAAACATAATAGATTAGAAATAACCCCTGTTGCTATTACATTGCTAAATATTGTGATATATTATTTCTGGAAAATTGTATTTTGGTCCTCTTTCTTATACTAAATTGATACAATACAATAATCCAGTCCTTATAATTACTTTTTTGTAAAGTGTTATGTGGAAGGTTTAGATAGATGCTTGTTTTTTTTATTTTAGACGTTAAGGAATGATAATTATGAGATTTTATTATTTCCTTTGTTACAGGACAAATACATTTTTACTTCAGCATTCCACTGGCATTAATTACAGCTACAGGTAGTTCTCACTTATCAGCTGCAATTGGGACAAGCGACTCGGTCGCTAAGTGATGCAGGTATAAAGAGAAAAATCAGAGACCACACCTGACTTATGACTTTAGTTCCAACTGTGGTTGTTAGCAAATCACCACAGGGGATTAAGGATAATGTCATGTGACCATGATTTGCAATGTTCTCCCAATTTCCCCATTGACTTTGATTTGGGAAGCTGGTAAGGAGCATTGGAAACCTCCTCTCCTTTCTCTTTCCTATCCTGTCCTCTCCCTCCTCCCCTTCTCATTCTCATTTTCCTTTTCCTTTTATGGTCCGCACTGTAAAACCACCCTGGAGTTTTCCCCAACAAGATTTTTGGGATGATTAATATTCACAGTAGTTTGCAATCATTTAAATGATTCCTGCCATACCTGATGAATCTGGAAGTTGGTGGGCATCAAAATCTGCAACTGAAGATGGACTAGAATTAGTGAAATGCACATTATAAATATGGCTAAATCATAGAGCAAACAGGTAAATAGATATCTTATTTAATAATTCCTATGCTTTTCTGTCCATTTATTTTCTTCTTTCCACTTCTTGCCTTCTTTCACAGCTCCCGGTTGTTTTGAAGGACAACTGCTATTAAATCCTCAGCTATTAAAACACTGTTCCTGCTGGTTGGTTAATGCCTCCCAGGAGACCACATTTAGCTGAATCCAAAAGATGGAAATTGATTTTTGATGGAAGTGGATGATTCCCCCTACTTAAAAGGAAATGACAGTTAACCCATCTTCTTTAAGAACTATCACTGAATCCAGTGGAATTGTGGACAATTTTAGTCTGATCTACAAACTTTCATTTTTAGGGAAGATGATAGACTTGTAGCTCTGAGGAGCACTGGAGGAAATAATTATTCAGATTCTTCACACTTGTGTTTCAGGTTGGGATATAACACTGAGATGGTATTGCTTACATTTATGGATGACCCCAAAGATGATAGTATATTTAGGGATAGGATTCAAATTTCTTAACAACCAGTTATGTGGGCGTGGCCTAATTTGTGGGTGCGGCTTGGTGGTCATGTGACTGGTTGGGAGTGGCTAGATGGTCTTGTAACTGGGGTGGGTATAGCTAGGTGGTCATGTGACTGGAAAACCAAATATAAGTGGTCCTTGCTTAATGGCCAGTTGCTTAGAAAGTGTTCTAATTTACGACTGACCTCCCCAGAGCTGTTTTGGGAGTTTTGACAGCCATGCTCTCTCTCTCTCTCTCTTTTATGACCAGTTACAACATCCCACAGTCACGTGACTGAGGTTTTCTATGTTTTTTGCCGGTGTCCCAAAATTCCTTCTGAGTTTCTTTTGCCAGTTTCTCACAATTCCAGTTAAAAATGCCCATTGGGGAAAAGGAACTTGTTTAACAACCAGTGTTCACTTAATTTCCATTTTTTGGATTCAGCTAAATGTGGTCTCCTGGGAGGCATTAACCAACCAGCAGGAACATGGATACAAAAGATGGTGGGATTCACCCCTCCTCCCAGGAACTGAGCCACCTCCTCAGCCACTTCCTCAAGGCTAACTGGCTCAGATGCTAAGACAAGTTGGCTTGCACAGTGACTGACCGACTGTGTGGGAGATTTTGCTGAAGAATCCACATGCACCACCAACTGACATCTGAGTGAGGCAGAGAAACAGCATATTGTAGACTTTGAAATGAGCTTACCAATAAGGAAACATCAGGAATTTTGTTCTTTTTATATAGCAAAGCTTCCCTTGTCAGGAAGGAGAAAAATTAATTTCACTCAGCTACTTCCTATTATGTAGAATAGACTTGTGTCCTCACCCTTGAGCTTCCGCCCATCCTCTTCTAGGAAAGCAAGATGTGGACATGAGTGCTTCCTGGTTATGTCAGCCAGCAGGATCCCCTAATTCCTTCTGCAGTACCTACATGTGTATCCTATTTTTTTTTTCTATATGTGGATTGTGGGGGTAGACATCCTTGCCCTCTAAATGGTGAGGGTTTCTGGTGTTTGGTGAGTGTATCCCACATTACAATCCTCTTCCATTTACTCTCCAAGTATGCCTTAAATTTGGGAAATTTTGCATGCCATCTTCATCACATCACCAAGCTCCCAACCTGGATAATAGTTCCTTTGGTTTGTCCAATTTTGTATATGTCTCTTTCAGGCGTTAGAGTTTTAAGCTTTAAGCTCAGTGAGTTCTTCATGTTATGTTTATTTCAGATAAACATAAACTGGGTTTTGATCACCATTGACAGCTCAATGTTCAATATTTTCAGCCTTCTCTAGTCTGAATGAAATTGCAGCCCCATAAGTCTTTGGGAAAGGGTGAGTGGATTCTGTCCTCATTCAGGAATGCTGCTATTTCTACATAGACTGATCTGATGCCATCCAATAGTATCAGGCAAACTAAAGCAGTCGTGCAGGCTGCAACAAGGCACAAATGGATTTCTTCCAGGAATTAGAACTACAGTAGTTCCTGGACACTTCTTGGATCCCTAATTTAGGATTTCTGGTGTATGTAAACTGTTAGTGGACAGAATATTTCTGTAATATGTTGGGCTTTCTTACCTTTCTGTCCAGTTTCTTCAAGGTCTTTTGCAAGATCATTTCTATTGCATTTTCGAAGGACACAAACTAACACCTTTAGAGCATCTTCTCCATAATGTTGAATCAGCAGATCTGTAACTTCTTGTTGATCAGCTTTCTCCAGTGAAGCTCCAGGAATGTTTGGTCTTCCATTATAATTAATAGAATTTAGCCTCCATTTAAATTTTTTAAATTGCATCGCAAGGAGTTCATTCAATGCATTGTAAATATCTTCTTTCACAGTGTTATTCATCTCTGCTATGAGGGATTATACCCAGTCTAAAATTAAAAGTAGAGAATTAAACTAATATGGAAAATGAGATCTGAAGGGAACACGATTAAACTAGTTAGCACTTTCACAAAGGCAATAATTTCATTTGTATAGGTTTGTGTATGTCACCTATTCCATACATTCTAAGCAGGTTATATTCCTAAAATATAGACAACATTCATCCTGACCTGAAGTGGCAAGATATAACCAAGAGGCTTATCCTTCAGGGTTCCCCTGTGTTTTCCAGTGATGTGAACCCACAACTTTTCTTTTGGCTTTTAAGTAATGGGCACCATAGATTTCACTTTGAGCATCATATCCACGGCTGGAGCTGTACTATTCAGACAGTGCAAAAACACTGAAAACTGTTCCTTCTGGATTGTCAAAAAGGAGGCAATAGAAACGTATCACTTCTAATTTACTATCAAATTCCACTTAGGTCATCCACAAGCTTCCATCCCTGAACTCACCACCAGAAGAGATGCATATTCTGCTTCATCCAGAGCCTTCTAAAAAAAAGGTTGCCCCCTGGACAGTCTCATAGAGAAGGTGGATAGTCATCTGTCAGAGAGGGATCCTACAATGAGAAGAGGATTGGATCAAAGACCTTTATGATGCTAGCTGGTTTAGCAGGTGTCCCAAATGAAGTCAGAGATGCTGACACAAACTTGTAGTTTTATA